AGGTGGAGTTGCTGACTTTTCTTTACGGGTTCTTCGGGGTGGACTTGCAGACCTTTCTCTTTGGGTTCTTCTAGGTGGAGTTGCTGATTTTTCTTTACGGGTTCTTCGAGGTGGACTTGCAGACTTTTCTCTTTGAGTTTTTTTATATGGAATTGGAGAGCTCTCTCTATGGGCTCTTCTAGGTGGACTAGCAGACATTTCACCACGAGTTTTTGTAAGCGGACTTGAAGTATTTTCCCTACGTTTCTTCATTTCACTTCTTACAGCGTCCCAATCAATTTCATGACTTGTACTTGTATATATAGAGGCTGTACCGTCTTTTTTTTGCCCATCAAAACTTGATACATGCAAATCTAAATTTGATTGTCTAGGACTTTTGGTTTTAAAAGTCTCACTATCTGCTCTATGTTTCACATCCTCAAGTGTGTTTCCCCCAGCGGGTTCATCCCACAAAGTCTTTCTCTTAGGTTCAGGGGATCTTGAATGCTCCTTCCATCTACTTTCCAGAGGAGATCTATCAAATTTCTTTGGAGAGGCAGATTGAACACGCTTCGGAGATACTGGCACTTCTCTCTGATGTTGCACTGGATGCCTTGGCTGTGGAGATTGAGATCTTTGCCTTTCAGATGTCTCAAATGTATTAGGTGAGAAATTTCTATAACCAGATGATGCTGAATGTTTTATTTCAGGTACAGATAAATTCCTTTGTGGGGGAGATTCTGATCGTTTTTGGCTTTTTTTAGCAGACTTCTCATAGAATGCTTTCAAATAATTTTGTGACAATAATTGCTCAGTCTCTTGCACTGATTTATTATTTTCAGGTGATTCTACATGGGTTTGTTTGGTAAAGCCATGTGAAGGACTAGGGGATCGACCTGTGTTGTATCTTGTTTGCCCAAGGGGAGATACTGACAATGAACTTTCAAATTGAGATGCTCTCAATGAAGGAGAAGAGGGGTTTTTACTAGCAGCTGGTGACTCGAATTTGTTGCTCCATGAGTGGTCCTTAGATTGGTACTTTGGAGAAGGAGTTCTTGGCCTGTCCAACAATGTCTTTGGTGACTTGGATAATTTCCCTGTTGAAGTTACTGGTACTGGTGATTTAGATCTTGAAGCTTGTGGTGAGTTAGGCCTTTTTGGGGGAGAATCTGATTTTTTCCTTGGTGACTTTGACCTGGTTAATCTAGATCTTTTTCCTGGGGATACTGACTCTGAATCTTTTCTAAGAGATTTCATCTTTGTTATCTCAACTGGAGACTTAGAAGATCGTGATCTTCTCCGAGGAGACCTTGACTTAAAAGGTGATGTTGATTTTCTTCTTGGAGACTTTGACTTGTTTCTTCTTTTAGGAGATCTTGACCTTCTCCTGGGAGATCTTCGTTTACCAGACCTAGACCTTGATCTTCTACTTGGTGTTCGGGATCTGCCACGCCTTCTAGGGGATCTACCCTTTCTTCGAGGGGACCATGATCTAGATCTTCTTCTTGTAGAATAAGAATCACGCCTCCTTCTTGGTGTTCTGGATCTCCGTCTCAGAGATCTTGATCTTCTCCGTGGAGATCGTGATCTCCTAGGGGTTCTGGATCTCCTTTTTGGAGACCTTCTTTTCTGATATGGAGACCTTGACCTTCTTCTATAAGATCGTGATCGTGATCTTCTGCGTGGAGACCTTTTCTTTGATTTCATCGGAGTTCTGCTCCTTTTCCTTTCTCGGGATCGAGAACGTGAACTTGATGAGGAAGAACTTGAAGAAGTTGACCTAGCAAGGAATTAATACATAAAACATTAATTAGTATTACAGTCCAAAATTAAATAATTGTCATCTTACGAAAATCCTCTCTAAACGAAACACTATGTATTTAAACAAGAAACCTGTCTGAACTAAATATCTTAGCCTAGCCATGTTTTAGTTGACTTACTTATCAAAAAAACACCTGGTTTGATTTCACCAGGTTTAACTGTAATTTACGTAGAGTTTACTCCACAAGAGATTTAGGTGGGTGGGTCGCCCATCAAGTTTTACGGCCACCCGGTTACAGTCAACACCCGCCCACCAACATCCAGCTGAAATGATTTGTAAAAAGCTTGCATTTTTCTTCCCAAGCCAAAACAAAAGAGTAGTTGACCAACCCTTTTTTTGCTGTTTTTTTTCAAGAGTCAAGATATAAATAATGACCACAGTGTTCTCCCCACATAGAACAAAGCATGGCGGCACCGCCATGCTTGGCGACCCGACCGCCACGCTTGGGCTCGAACCGCCATGCTTACAACTTCACCGCCATGCTAATAGGATGCATTGTTTACATCCATTTGACTCGCTCACACGTAGCACTGCATAAATTATCACCGTCTACGCCACGGCGGTTTGAACTTGCCGGGACAAATTAAACAGTCCCATTGTTAAACACGTGTGAAGTACAGACGCTGTCAATGGGGAACAAATTGTCACTCAAGTTGCAAACACCGAGATGCTATATGACAAAACATGTAAAGGAAAAAAAGGTAATGCCGCCCGGCTAAAACGTACAATCACCGCTAGCACAGCACAGAAACGGAAGCGTGTAAAACACGGAAACGGCGTGAGGCTGGTTTTGATGAGTCGTGGAAAAAGACATTTCCCTG